GGGCCAGTTATGAGCCGGTTCTGGGCCAGGTCGACGGGCCGAGCCAACCCTTGTCACCTATAATTTGGGGAGATGAAATTTCATCTAACTGTACCCTTCCTTTACAAGAAAATGAAAGTAATGAACAATATAAAAGAGACATGCATCCAATTTGCTATAAAATCCCACGCCGTACTAACTTCCCACCTACACAATCCCACGCCTTCCTCACTCCCTTAAACTGCAACGAACGAGCCCTATTCATAACACAATCCCCCATGCTTCTCTCAAAAACACCAATCAAAAAATATTAGGAGAACGAGGATGACCCGAGACGAATCGTGTACTCGATCAAGGTCGGGTTAGCCCTAATGTTGGTGTCCTTGTTCTACTGTTTCATCCTCTGTATGACGGTTTTGGACAAGCCGGGATGTGGGACGTCTTAATTGTCGTATTCGTGTTCGAATGCACAGTTGGTAGGCTATTGCAATAAGACACATGTATATTGTTGAGCCATGCTGCATGTTTCAAATATATATTTCATCTAAGTTAATTCATTTATTTATTTATTTTCACTTTTTTTTTTCTTTTTTTTTTTAATTCCTTTTTTTGTATTTTCAGGTGGGACTTTGGGTAAATACATAAACAGAGGTGGTGCAACATTGTTAGCTGGTAAATTAGGGGATGATAATACCGATAATTCAAATAAATATCATTGTCTCTTTATAAATTAATAGATATATATATTTCTAACAAAAATATATAAAAATATTAATTCCCTACAGTCTTTAACAAAAACCTATTTAATTTCCTAAAAAAAAAAAATAGAAGCTAGATGACCAATACCTCACCAATCCGCAACCAACAAAACCCGGATATATTGCTTGCAAACACTTAATTAAATTAAAAAACAAAAACAAATCCATCTATATATCGGTCAACATGCTTCTTGACCGATAATGCGGATCGGGATGAGGCCTATTCAACGTGACATCGTAATACTCCTTGACGGCTTGAAAACCAAGAGAGATGGTGGCAACCACAAACGGGGCCCACATGGGGTACCTGAACGCCAGCGTCAGCGCCGCGTCAACCAGCACGACCAACAAACAATCACGGAAACCGAAATTGAAGCAATCCCCCAGCAAATTCATCACGGCCATAATGTGGATAGGAACCAGCCCTTGGACCAAGGAGAGCCACAACGCGTCCCCGCGGGCCAAATAACTGATCCCCAATCCCACGAGGACGAGCAACACGTCGGCCAGCTTCTTGCTCCAACGGCCCAGCCTCCTCGCAGGCCAGACCCATAGACGGCACCCAGTTTGCACAGCTATGCATGATAGGAGCATGAAGTAGAAAAATGAGAAATAGTAGATAATTTGGCGAACCATGTCTTTATGCTTGGACCATATATGGTGCCTCACAAAGATTCTTAAGATGAACACAACCACAGTAGAGAAAGACAATAGGGACCCGAAGTACCGAAGGACTGACTGTGCCTCCACCAGAAGCGCCTCGGTCGTCGATCTATCTTCGTTTTCCATTGATAAGATCGCTCTACGTAATTTGATGACGAATGTATTCTTAATAAAAATTGATTGTGAGAGGAAATAATGTTAAGAGCGCGCGTAGGTAGGTTGAAGAGGGAGGACACAACCCAAATTTATTTATATGAATTATAGGTAGCCTAATACTAGTATATATATTTAATTACTTTCCTAATCAATATATAACAGTATTTGTTTACTTTTTTTCCTAATCAATATATAATTAGAGTTTGCTCAGTTAGAATCCTAATCAACATTATTCATGACTTTTTAATCTCGATCAACGCAGTTGTAATATTTCTTGTGAGTGGCGTCAATCATAACCATTTTCTAATGTTGTGTTGTATTTTAGATAGTCGCATTAATAAAGGTTGAAATTGAAAAAAAAAAAAATAATAATAAAATAAAAATTTATTCTTAGTAAAATATACGTTGTAAAAATAAAATCTCCATTTTTTTAACGTATATGAATTGTATATTTATAATTGATTCATTACATACGTTTCTAGTTGAATTTTAATTTATAATATGGTTTAATTCTTAGTAAAATATGTGCGTATAAAATTCCCCTCTATATAATTCCCGAATGTACTGAGCCTAAGTGGCAGACTCGCATGTTTCGGGATCCTATGTGTCAATATTCCATATTTTATCATTTGGCTTGGATAAATTTTAATTTAATTTCAATCCAAAAATAATTAGGTCTGGATTACCATAAATATGTTGATTGCTTATGATCATTTTAGATTTATTAATTGTTTTTAATATTATTTCCTATTATAAACAATCACTACAAGAAAACACTTCTATTCCAACGAAAAATTCCAACGGCAAAAATTATTGTTGGAAATTCCAATGAATATTCCAACAAACTTAATTTTATGTTGGAATAAGTGTTGGATGGTAGAGGAATTCGAACAGATTTTTTCCGTTGGAAAAACTGCATGAATCTATTTCCATAGGATTTCCCGTTGGATTTTAGCTATTCCAACGACTGTTTTTCCCACGAATTTTTATACGTAGGCATATCCGTTGGAATAGTTATTCCAACGGAAAATATAAAGAATTCCAACGGAAAATTTCCGTTGGAATTTATGAGTTTTTTTGTAGTGCATTTAATTGAAAATATTTCTTAAAAGTTGATAACTTTTGAATTTCTTATCGGTTTTACATATATAACATATCAAATTAATCATCTTTTAATGAGCTTCGAATTAACATCCATATTGTATGTATAAAGTAAATAAATTATATTTATCCGTATAAATATAATAAAATTATATATTAATATCAATTAGAAAAATAAAATTATTTCTTAACTAATATATTCATGTTTAATGTAGTTATATGTTATAAGTTAAAAAATTATTATAATATAACACAGATAAGTCGCAGTAGCAAATGTCTTTTGAAAATATATAATAATATAATTTTTTTATAAATAGTATTAAAATTTTAAATAACTTTATTAATCTTAAATTTTAAGAAAAAAAATTTAACAAAACACCCGTGTAATACACGGATGTTGTACTAGTTAAAAATTTATAAAACTTGATATTAAAAATAAAAATATTTTTGAATTTTACATACTATAACTATGTTTAGATTATAAAATAAATAGCTCTCCCATAAACTAATATAATGGTGAATCATACAAAACAACAAATCAACCGTAAAAAAATATAAAATAAATCCTAAATAAATATTAAACTTATTTAAATATTGGTAAAAGAAACCCTAGAAACCCTGGATAAATCTTAAATATTATAGTATTTGTAGTGAACACCATTAAA